GGCCGTAAGAGAGCCGGGGCGGGGCCGCGTGAGAGCCGGGGCAGGGGCTGCGTCAGGGCCGGCTGCGGGGCCGTAAGAGAGCAGGCGGCTGGGCCGCGTGAGAGCAGGCGGCGGGGCCGCGAAGGAGCCAGGGCGGGGCCGCGTGAGAGCAGGCGGCGGGGCCGCGTAAGGGCCTGGGCTGGGCCGCGACAGAGCCGTCGGCGGGGCCGCGTGAAAGCCGGGGCGGGGCCGCGTAGAAGCCGGGGTGGGGCCGCGCGAGAGCAGGTGGCGGGGCCGCGAAAGGGCCTGGGCGGGGCCGTGACAAAGGCGTCGGCGGGGCCGCGTGAAAGCCGGGGCGGGGCCGCGTAGAAGCCGGGGCGGGGCCGCGCGAGAGCAGGCGGCGGGGCCGCGAAGGAGCCGGGGCGGGGCCGCGTGAGAGCAGGCGGCGGGGCCGCGTAAAGGCCGGGGCGGGGCCGCGACAGAGCCGGCGGCGGAGCCGCGTGAGAGCCGGCGACGGGGCCGCGTAAGGGCCGGCGGCGGGGCCCCGTCAGAGAGGGCGGCGGGGCCGCGTCAGTGAAGGCGGCGGGGTCGCAGGGGAAATGGCGACCCGAGGGGTCGCTAAAAAAAAATCGCGCCTCGGGGGGCGCTTCGGTGGGCCCAAAAAAAACGGTCCTTAGAAGGACCCGCTCTATACCATGTGAGAATAAGCGAACAGGAATGAATGAACTAGAAAGGAAATGAGTACAAGTAGTAAACCCTAGAATTGTGTACCCCCTATAGGCTAACCCACTGTAGCCTACACAAGCATAACATATATAATGTTTGACAAGGCAGACGCGCCGTCAGCTGCAGCATGGGGAGGTGGGTGGTCGCGCGCCCACTGCGCGCGAGGGCCTAGGAGTGCCCACTCCAAGGGGACCTCACCGAACTCGCCAGCTGTATAGCGTCTCCTAACATCAGCCTCTCGAGTCTCCAAAGTATCCTCTACGCCCTCTTCAACTACGGGGTCAACCATGGCGACTACGAAAGCTGGCAGCCTACCAACGAATTAGGTAATGCGCACCTAAGTCGACCATTCTGAAGGTATCTATGCGGGGCCGTCCACACTCACCGCACCATGCGGGGAGTCACTACACAACGGGAGTGGACTACGGAGGAAGGTGTCAGAATATTATCTTATTGTTCTAGCCTGTAGTGGGGTGCTCTATAGCGAGTACAACCCTTCTAGGGTTTGCTATTTGTATCCTCATTCTTGCTAGTTCAATCCTCTTTCTTTCTTCTAATTTTGTCATGCTATCAGAGCAGGTCGATCCCCCTTGGATCGATCCTGTGGGTGGGTTACCACCTCGCTTCCGCTGCTACTCTTTCCTCCCGCCGTGCGTCCCGAGGCGCGCGGCGGTTTTCTGCCCGCCGTGCGCCCCGAGGCGCGCGGCGGTTCTTTGCCCGCTGTGCGCCCCGAGGCGCGCGGCGGGCTTCTGCCCTACGTCGCGGCCCTGCCCCGACCGTCGCGGCCCCGCCCCTCGACGCGGCCCCGCCCTACGTCGCGGCCCCGCCCTATGTCGCGGCCCCGCCCCGACCGTCGCGGCCCCGCCCTCGTCGCGGCCCCGCCCTACTGTCGCGGCCCGGCCCTACGTCGCGGTCCCGCCCTACGTCGCGGCCCCGCCGCCGACCTGTCGCGGCCCCGCCCTTCGATGCGGCCCCGCCCTGCGTCGCGGCCCCGCCCCTCGAAGCGGCCCCGCCCTACGTCGCGGCCCCGCCCCTCGTCGCGGCCCCGCCCTATGTCGCGGCCCCGCCCCGACTGTCGCGGCCCCGCCCCGAATGTCGCGGCCCCGCCCTCCAATCAGGTCCGTGGTGGGCCCTTTCCTCCACACCCCCCCTCCCCCCCATTTCCCGTGAGGGGCGAGCTGTGGGGTGGCGGGTATGGGGGTGGCCGGTGTGCCTTCCTCCCTTTCTCCTCCTCCTCCTTCGTCTCCCACTGCTGCAGCTGTCGCTGAGGGGGGTGGTTGTGTGGGAGACTGGGGTTTAGGGTTTTAGGGGGGTGCGTGGGAGTAGAGCTAGTGGTGTAGCAGTGGGTGTGTATCAGGGGGGTGGGACTGTGTGCGGGAGGATGAGCGGAGGTTGCCAGTTTGTCGTCAGCAGCACCTGTAGTCCGGGGCGCTGTCCCGGTAGCCCAGTCGTAGCCAGCTGTGCCAGCCGCCCGTGGGTCCGTTGCCCGTCCGCCGCTATTTGAGCCGCGGGGCCTGTTACCCCTGTAGTCCGGGCGCTGTCCGGTAGCCGCTGTGCCAGTCTGCCTCCTGTTGCCCGTGTGTCTGCAGCTTCAGCCGTCGCCTCCTGTCTCCTCTCCCCTCACTCTCCCTCCTCCTCCTCACTTGCCCGTTGTGACTACCACTAGCTTTGCTTATAATTGTAAACTCTAAACTATTTCTTCTTGAACTTGTGCTCAGAATGTGTGGTGACATTGTGATCCACCCTGAGCTTGTTTTGCTTTGCCTGCTCTGCTGATTACACCCCACTTTGGCTATGGGGGTGTGTCAGAATATTATCTTATTGTTCTAGCCTGTAGTGGGGTGCTCTATAGCGAGTACAAACCTTCTAGGGTTTGCTATTTGTATCCTCATTCTTGCTAGTTCAATCCTCTTTCTTTCTTCTAATTTTGTCAGAAGGCACGGGCTGTGCGGGTAATCGTAGCGCTGCACTAAGTGTTCTCACTACTTGCTGCGTTCACAAAGAGTTTTGGCAAGAGTTTCACTAAGAAATTGAGAGAACAATAGATTAAAATGAGGCATGCAAGTCGATATAGCTAGAATGGCATTGCAACAGCTAGCAAGCCCTCTGCAGGGCACACTATGCCAGCGCGGCAGAAGAGTGGCTTGCCAACGCTGCAGCAGAGCAGTCTGTCAGCGTGGTATAGCAGCGGTCTGCCAGCGCCGCAGAGGCATGTGAACTTCTACGCATGTGCGCACCTACCAAGTAGGTGCAGGTAGACGGTCGCACCGCCAGGCACATTGCTCAGGTGCCAGGTAGAACACGTGCCGACGGTTTTGCTTGCGGCGCACCGTCGAGCACGTGATGCCATTCCGCAGGTTGACTTCGCGTAAACCTCCCAGGCGACATTCGCCCACATGACGAATTTCACAGTCGCGAGACTTCCGTAGAGTAGCTCGACGAATGCTCTGTGCAAATTGTAGTTAGAATGAAGGAGCCATAGCTAGGGTTTAGCTAGCTAGGCAAGAGAGAATAGGCAAAAGAGGAGAAGAAAGGTTTCACTAGCAAGCAATGGGATACATATAGCAAACCCTAGTTGGGCTGTACTCACTATAGAGTACCCCACTGCAGACTAGACAAATAACACATTCTGACATGCTCCGTCGGGCAGCTTTCGCCTAAAAAAGCCCTCTACCAGCCTCGTCGAGGAGCTCCTATACTGGCCTTGTCGAGGAGCTCCTCTACCGACCAGGTCCCGTTGAGTCAGACTCCTCGACGGACTCGTCGAACAGCGTCCTCTGCGGACGTGTCAACCGCGTCCTCTGCAGATGCGTCGAGGTCGAACTCTGCGGACAGGTCGAGGTCGCCTTCTGCGCGCAATCTGCACTGTCTTCTGCGCGCAGCCTACGTCGACTTCCGCGCGCCCCCGACTGCGAAGTCTGCTTCGCCCAAGCGAGGGCGGGGCCATTTCCAGTCAACAGAACGGACCGTTCGTGATAGCGTCGTGACTGCTCGTGATAACTCTGAAATGTTTTATGATGGCCCGTATAAAAAAACCCTATGATTCAAGGGGCAATCATGCAGTTCGCGATCTGCCCGGTCAGGAAAAACAAGTGTGACGCGTTCTGAAGGATCGAATGCCCAGAATTAATCCGCAACAAAAAATGGGAAACTTTTCTGCTAATCGGTGATGCTGCAAGGGTGTTATGAGTGCAATTGAGTGAACGAACAAGAATTGCACTATCGAAGCAAGAGTACAATGAGCGAAGGCATGAGCGAAGAATATATAGCGAAACTTCAGTGGTAACGGTGATGGACTGTGGTTGTCGCGCGACGGGCCTGGGACTGAGGTTGGGAAAAGTGTCGAAGCGGAGGCCCGGAGCGCGGGTTACCCGCCGAGCCGTGAGGTCGGGGTGCGACGTGCAAAGGTGGCGGGCGGATTGTCGATGCGAGGATTGCGAGTGGTAACGGTGCTGACTGTGGTGCTACAGTGATGTACGCGTTGAGCAGGGACTCGAAGTAAGGAAAAAGAGATTTTCCTTACAAAGGGCAACAATTCCATATGCGAGCTGCCCGATGGTGACCAATTCGCCACTACAATCGAAGATGGACGCGTTCTGTGGGGAGGATCGCACAATGCGACCATAGGAGTCCCATTGGATGCCGCAAATGGCGGTTGAAAGCAGAAAAAAGTGGAAATGCAGTAAACGAGCCTACGTTACAGGCAAGAAATGACAGTGAAAGTTGCAATTTGTGCTGATATTTTATCCAGCAAACAAAAGAACTTACTATTGGACTTTGACCTTTCAATTACTTGCAGGCTTGATGCGTGAGAGTGGCCTGACTCAGGGGAAGTGGTAAGGCTTTGAGCCACTGGCTCGGGTTTAGGACAAAAAAAAACTTCTTAGCTTGCCCAAATACTTGGTCTTTATTGTGCTTGAGTAATGTTTTGGTATCTAATGATTTCGCGCTTTTCTCTCACCAATCCCAAGCCTGTGGTGTTGGACTGAATGTCTTGTGGTATTGGACCAAGTCAATATCAGGTGGCAACAGAAGGGATGTTTAATAATAATATAAAAAGCAGCAGATATACATTCAACAACAGTAGGCACATTCAGATCAAGCACACTATCTCCAGGCTTTCCCTCTCCTAAAACACACATGCAGGTGCAACCATCCACCCCATGGGTTAAACACACACAAGAAAACACTATCTCAAAACCAATGTGGCATCATCACTAGCTCAAAAAAGGATATCCCTTCTTGAGTAGGTTGGATAGAACTTCTCCATCACAGGTAGGCCCTGGAGCACCAGTTTAGGGCTGAGAAGTTCTCAAACCAGGGCAGGGAAAGGGAGCAGACCAGACCAAAAAAAGTGCACACAGAGGTGAGGTGGTCTACCCTGAACTGGAAGCAGATATGGTATGCGATGAGCTATGTGAGAGCGGGAAACCAGGGACACATTGGATCACATGGCATGTGAGAGCGACAGAAAGAAACAAGAAAAGGGATACATGTGACAGCCACATTCCTCACATGGCCCGTCCTCCTTGTCTGTGAGGACGCATTACAACTGGGAGGGCCAAGGGAAACAACGAAGGGGCTGCACTGCACGTGACAGGCACATTCTTGAAATGATAGCCCATCCAGCATGCCTGTGACGTACCGATGATGCCATCAGGCTAAGGCAGGTCTGGCGCAGAAGCGCCAGATATTCAAGGCATCTCCTGGCGGCGTCCGGATTGCGCTGGGCGTTGCAGATTTGCGTTCTTTTATTGAGCTCCGACTGGCATGAGGCAGAACTACCTGGTGGTGGTACGGACCGACAGGTGAGGAAGCAGGCAGAATAGGATGTTCGAGGATCATGGGTTGTGAGTATTTTCGACCTTTGCCGGAGAAAACGCAACATCGAAGCGGGTGATGTCTCATTGCTGCAGAAAAATAAAGGCCGCCGCTTCACAATCCCAGACGGCACGGCGCGGAGCGATCCGTAATACGGGTAACGGAAAGCACAGGCATTTGGAGAAAGACGAGCTCTCCGGGAGAAAGCACAGGCATTTGGAGAAAAAACGAGCACTCAGGAAACCCGGCTAGAATAGACAGAGAGGGGCCGGCAGAGAACTTTTGATCGTTCATTCTACGTTTGGTTTGTCCGCGCAAGTAGACTGGCTCCCATCATTGTACCATCGGCGAATGATGGAATGAGCTTGCGATGGCGCTGCGCCTCGCGCGGCACTTCGTTGAGCAGGGCGGTACTCGCCGCGTTCTCTGCTGTGACGACGCCTGCCGCCTCGGCGCTCGTTGCTGGTAGGGGCAGGAAAAGAGGAGTGAGAGGAGTGAGGACAGAGAGAATGTTAGCAGCGGAGGCCTGGGCAGTTTGACATGATGGGATGCGTGGGGGAGAAATGAGACGAGTTGGATGGCTTGGTCGATGCAGAGAGGAAGGAGTCAGGAGTCAGGCGGAGAGGTTCACTTTCCTGAAAGCAAGTGCTAAGTAAGTACCGTGCAATAGAAGCAAGCAAGTGCCAAGACGGGTATTTTTATGTAACACGGCCCGGGGGTGAGGGCGCGATGCATAAGCGCGGCGCCAGAGATTAAGTTCGGCGATGGCACGAGATTATACGAGACGCCCTACCTTGAGCGAAAGACAGCGCCAGGATTGCAGCGAGGAAGATTGCGAGGGCAACAGAGAGAATGGCGCGAGCCATGGCGTTGTAAGGTGACGGGTTAGTAGCTGGGAGAGATTGAGATCTGTGATTGAAAATATGAATTGAGACCAATGGTTAGAGCATGTTTAGCGGCAGAAATTTATAGACGGATAAGTCCATTTGCATGGACCAAGTAAAACGAGAGTGCGACATCGAAGGGCGTCAGTTTCTTCCCAGCCGTGAAATGCGCGAGAGTACGGTACAGTGCTGATAATTCAAGTGCAATGATGCAATTTGCAAGCTGCCCGGTGTTAGAGCCTGTGACGCGTTGACTCTGCGTTGGGCTGCTGAAGAATCAGTTTCCGAGCTGCCCAGTGTGAAGAATTGTGACGCGTTGAAAGTGGAGATGGAGGATCGAGGGCTCAAAATCGATGCTCGCAGATAGAGAATGTTCAGATATGCGACCCGCTCGAATTTTCATTTTTCTTCCTTACCGCGTACCCAGGAGCTTCATTGGCTACCGCAGATGGCGGTGGAATTGTGAAGAACAAGCGAGTTGCCACTGTTACGGTAAGAGATTACTCATTACTCAGAAGAATGAACGGCAAAGTAAGTTCTGATACAGAAATGGGCACTTTTTATTTATCTACCTGTATTTATTCCACCGTACTAACTTGATGAAAGTGGGTGTAATCCCTGCAACCTATTTGAACCCAAACCTCCTAGAAACCTGTACGAAAATCAAAGATCAATTTGAGCATAGATTCCCAATAGCAACAAGCCACCCTTTTGGACAGATTCACCTTTTTGGACAATACGAACACCCAAAAGATAACACCACCAAAGCACACTTTTTAACAAGAAGCATACCCCATAGCAATATTCTTTCCCCCCATGTCCACTAATAAGACACTTTTTGGCGCTTGGTCTTGCTGACTTACTAGGCTTGCTTGCTCCTCCTGCAAGAGGATACTCGGTCTGCAAAAACAAGGACAAGGGAAGGAGAAAGGGCAGTTTCATAGAATGTGCACACAGGGTGAGATGGTTTATCATGCACTGGAATGGACATCTGGCCTGTGGCGAGTAATCGTGGAAAGATTATGTGGACTGAAAAAACAAACAGAATAGGCATGTGAGAGTTGTAAGCCGGATGGAACGGCATGTGCGAGTGAGAGTTGAAGCCGCATCACGCACGTCACTTATCAGTCGCCGCTGGCCTCACACACTGCTCCATCTATGCCAGGCGGCTCAAAAGTGTCTTACCCGTACTGGCTTGCCTCCGCACTGCGCAATCTGCGCCAGAAGGTCTTCCTTGCAGTTGTCCATGCTCTTCTGCGTCCTCACGAGGGAGAGCGAGTAGAAGTCCTCCACTTTCCGTTTGAACACCAGACTGCATGGCGTGCCTGTTCACGGAAAGGCACCACGAGAGGCAACAGGCAGGTGAGCGGAGCTGAATGCCCATGGTACTACCAAAAGGCTCAGATTTTCACAGAAACGCCCCTCGCCATCGTTGGATGTACCAAGAACGAGAACGGGAGAGAGGGGCTCTGGTCATTCGTGCAAGCTCTGGAAGTCTGCGTAGTAATACTACGAATCAAATTGGTCCGTATCGTCATCTGCCGAGCGCATTCTAGCCAAGAGTTTGTTCGCATCATTTGCGATCACTCTGGCGCCCTGGGCGCACGAGACGCAGGAGAGAGTCAGAACTGCAGCGAGGAAGAGCGCGAGGCCGACGGAGAGAACGGAGCGAGCCATGGCGATAGGGCATACACTGAAAGCTCCAGATATACGTGCCTGAATGGTGGCGACTGTTCGAGTAGCGCGCTAGTGGTATGATTGGCTCTGTTGGAGGTGGCGTGTGGTTGAAGCAAGTGGTGGTGGGGTGGTTGTATGCCCCCAACCCACCGAATGTGTTGCTTCTACTTGCCTTCACTGCAGGTTTCGTGAAGTGTCAAATTATATATGCATGTTTAGGTTATCTAGGCTGTATGGGGGTTATCACTAAGGGGTACAGAAACTTCCTGACACTTGTACCCCAACCTTGATATAATCTCACCATTCCCTTGACTTAGTCTAAACATGGTAACTGGAGCAAAATTCGGGCCCACATAACTGTGTTACCACCTGCCTTCCTTGCCTACTGCCCGCGCGCGCCTCGGCTGCAGCGCGCGTCACGTTTTTTTTCCTGCGCGCGCCTCGGTTTCTGGCACGCGCGTCACTGTTTTTTTGCGCGCGCCACTGCTGCAGAGCCGCGCGCCGGCCCGCGTCGCCCGGGCAGCCCGCGTAGAGCCCGCGAGCCCCTTACGCCGCCCGCGCGCAGCCTGCTTAGGCCCGTCGCCGCACGCAGCCCGCAGCCGCGCGCGTTGCCCGTCACCACGTGCAGCCAGGAGCCGCGCGCAGCACGTAGCCACGCGCAGCAGAGAGCCGCGTGCAGCCCTCAGCCGCACGCAGCCAGCAGCCGCGTGTGCCCTACTCGTGTACCTGCCTGTGAGGCTCACTGTTGCCGAGCCCGCTGTTGAAATGAACGAACATGAATGATTGAACTAACAGTGAAATGAGTACACCTATCCCTAGAATTGTGTACCCCCTACAGGCTAGCCCACTGTAGCCTAAACAAGCATAACATCTATAATGTTTGACACACCCCCATAGGCGAAGTGGGGGAGAACTAGGGGTCACAAGACAAGTCAAGCAAAGCAAAGCAAAGCAAAGCAAGCTCAGGGTGGATCACAAAGTCACCACACATTCCGAGCACAAGTTCAAAGGCCACAAGGCTAGTTCACATGCAGAAGTACATATATATATAAGGCTAGACAAGCAAGAACAGGTATATATACATGTAACAGTACAAGAAAGGTCAAGAGGTGAGCAAGTGAGGTCAGACAGGCACAAGACCCAGCTGGGTGCAGAAGCGCTGATGATCACAAGGCGCAAGTGCCTTGGTGAAGATATCAGCAGTGTTGGCCTCAGAGGCCACGTACGCAAGCCGCAACTGACCACGCTGCTGTAGCTCACGAGCAAGGAAGTAGCGGAGAGCAATGTGCTTTGTTCTGTGCTCCAGTCTCTGCTCTCGACACAAGGCCAGCATGGCCTTGTTGTCTACGTACAGGACTGGAGGAGAACGAGGCGGCTCTCCAAGGTCGGTCAGCAGGTAGGTGAGCCAGCAAAGCTCCTGAGCAGCCATGGCCCCTGCGTAGATCCCAGCCTCACAACTGGAGCCGAGAACAGAAGACGAGCGAGTAGCCCGCCACGAAACAGAGCCGGAACCAAGGCTGAAGGTGTAACCCTGTGACGACCGCTGCGTAGTCTGGTCGTCAGCCCAAGAAGCGTCTTCGTGACCAGTGAGGACCACTGGACTCCGCCCTCCAAGCACTAGCCCCATGCCAGACGTACTGCACGAGTAGTGCAACACCCTCTTCGCTACAGCCATGTGCTCTGGTCGGTGTCTCCCAGGAGCAACATAGCGTGCGAGAATGCTAAGAGGGTATGCAAGGTCAGGTCGAGTGCAGGTCATCAGGTACATGAGGCAGCCAACAAGCTCTGGGTACGGGCCACTCGACTCTACGGACTCATCCGAAGGCAGAGCTGAGAGCGAGTCGCGAGTAGGCAGAGGAGTGGCCTGAGGCGAGGATTACGTGAAGCCGAAGCGCTGAAGGACCTGCTGCACCATGTGTGACTGAGTCAGGGTGATGGTGCGGCGTGCTCTGTCCCGGGTGATCTGCAAGCCAAGGTAGCTGCGCAGTTCACCCAGGTCTGTGCACGTGTGTCTCTTCTGCAGCTCGGACTTCACGTAGGCGAGTCCAGCAGTGTCAGCTGTGGCAAAGACCAAGTCGTCGACGTACACGAGGATGTAGAACGGCGGCAAAGAAGTGTCGGTGCGTAGAAACAGCGACGGGTCGGCAGTAGAGGGAGCAAACCCAAGAGCCGCAAGTGTAGTCCTCAGTGTGTTGTGCCACTAACGTGGTGCCTGGCGGAGACTGTAGACTGGCCGCTGGAGGCTCCACTGGGTGCCAGGAGGAAAAGTCCCAGTGAAGCCAAGTGGGCGGCGCAGCCAGATCTCCTCGTGCAGGCTGCCTTGCAGGAAAGCAGTGCTGAAGTCAAGAGAGTGTAGCTCGTAGTCACGGTGAGCAGCTACGTGCAGCAGTACCCGAAGAGTGGTCATCTTCGGGGTGGGAGAGAAGTTCTGAAAGTAGTCAACTCCCTGCCGCTAACTGAAACCACGAGCCACGTAACGCGCCTTGAAGACAGGTGGAGAACCCGGCGGCCGCTTCACCATGAAAATCCACATGCCACTGACGATGTTCGCCCCAGGAGGGGGGACAGCGTTAACGTAGGTGCCTGTGGACTTCCAGGAAGCCATCTCTACATCCATAGCTGCCACTGAGAAGAGTAGGGACCCTCTATCGCCTCCGCGTAAGAGCGCGGAGTCGGGATGTCAAGTGCATCCGAGTCTCCCTCAGGGGTAAGCAGTACGGACACGAGATGAGGTGAAGCAGCTGCCAAGCACTGGAACTCCTCCTGCCTGTCCTGAAGGACGTCCGTGCCAAGGGCACACTCACCCCCGACGGACGGAGGACAGACAGACTCAGACCCAGCAATAAGACTGGCGGCGTAGTCTAGGCGACAGCGAGCAGCAAAGTCGACGAGCTCAGCAACTAGGGCAGATGCAGCAGTGGACTCAAAGGAAGGGTCAGTGACAACAGTAGGACTGGCAGCACGAAGAGAGTCTGACTCCAGGTCGGCAAGGGCAGGAAGAGAAGACTCAGGAGGAGAAGGCAAAGGGGCACGCAGAGGAGCAGTGGACGGACGCAGAGACAGCCGTTGTGTGCCAGGGACAGGAGGAGGACACTGACGCGAACCGCGACTACTAGTGCGAGCAGTACTGACAGGCGACGCAGGGCGAGACGCAGGCTCACAACGCTCAGCAAGACCTCTAGTAGGACCAGTGTAGGGAGAAGGAGCAGGCAGTGGGGAGGCGGGCTGTAACTGTAACTGTGACTGGACAGGCTGTGGACACTCTAGGGGAGGAGGAGGACCGGTAGAAGGCGGGAGACCAAGAACCTACTGAAGGAGCGGAACGAAGTACGGCCACTGCCGTGCAGTGACTCCAGAACCAGTAGAGACACCAGCGCTAGGGTCCTCAGCACCAGCAGCAGCTCCAACTCCCGGGTCCTCAACACCAGCAGCAGCTCCAATGCCTGACTCCACAGCACCAGCAGCAGCACCAGCGCCAGGTTCCTCAGCACCAGCAGTAGCTCCAACGCCTGGGTCCTCAGTACCAGCAGTAGCTCCAACTCCCAACTCCACAGCACCAGCAGCAGCACCAACGCCCGGGTCCTCAGCACCAGCAGCAGGACCAGCGCCCGGGTCCTCAGCACCAGCCGTAGCTCCAACGCCCGGGTCCGCAGTACCAGCAGAACCAGTAGAGACTCCAGCACCAGCAGCACCACCAGCAGAACGGGGTCCGCGACACTAGGCGTGCCACTCCGAAGAGTGCAGCGCCGCTCGTACCACTCACGGATCCGCTCACGGGAGGGGAGCTCCCGGCTAGGAGGAGAAGCACTAGCACCAGTCCCAGTAGTACGCCTGGCTCCAGAGGTACCTCTCCCGAGGCTGCAGTACTGCAAGTACCACTCACGCAGCTGCTCCGAGGAGAGGGCTCCTCCAGGTGGAGGACTCTCAGGCTCAGGACCTCCAGACTCAGAACTATGCGGCTCAGCACTCCCAGGCTCAGCACCCCAAGGCTCAGTACCCCCAGGCTCAGCACCCCCATGCTCCGCACCCCCAGGCTCAGCACCCCTAGGCTCAGCACCCCCAGGCTCCGCACCCCCAGGCTCCGCACCCCCAGGCTCAGCACCCCAAGGCTCCGCACCCGCAGTAGGACGAGAGTCGACAGCTACCTCAAGAGGCTCAACCGGGTCTACCTGAGACACACCTAAGGGAGCGGCACCCTGAGGGGGGAGGGGGTCTATGACAGCAGCACCTGACGAGAGGAAGAGAGGCGGGGGGGGGGAGCGGGGCAGTGCGGTAGGGGAAGAGGCGGTAGTAGGGGACGGACTCGTCAAAAGTGACGTCCTAAGAGGGCAAGACTCGGCGCGAGGTGGCGTGGTAAAACTGCCAACCAGGCGCGTTCGGGACAAGGCCGAGGAAGACGCAGGGAACAACACGGTAGGAGAGCTTGTCCGCAGACGTATCGCGGACAAAAGCTCGAGATCCCCAGACCCGGAAACGCGACGCATCGCCAACCTCTCCCGTCCACAGCAGTGTGGGTGAGGTCTCTGGCAAGGAGACACGGGGCCGGAGGTTGAGCTGATGCGCAGCGTACCGGACCGCAAACGGCCACAGAAAGTGGGGGGCAGCCGCATGGATCAAGGAGGTACGGGCGACCTCCATGACTAGGCCAATGCGGCGCTCTGCAATCCCATTCTGCTGTGGAGAGGCCGGAAGCGTGAACGACTGCTCAATGCCGTGCTCAGCATAGTAGGCTGCGAAGAGGTCGGAGGAGAACTCACCGCCTCTGTCAGAGTGCAAGCGCAGGACAGGAAAGTCCGAGTGGAAACGCTCGAGACGGGCTCAAGACGGATCCAAGGGATCAAGACATCAGGGACCTCACCCT